GGTGGTGGGTGAAGAATGGTGGGCGAATGCTCCTTGCTACACAGTTGCGCCTGCTATCATACAGACCAAACACGATACACAGAGCACGTACGCCATCCACTGCGCAACCATGCACTCCATGCAAATGCATGTCCTATTACCTCCATCTCGCAAGTCAGGTGGCAGACTTCCGCTCGCCGATCAGGACGCACCCCGGCGGGCGGGATGTAGGCCGACTGCCCTCCATCCACGTGCCAGTGGAAGCGAACCATGTGCAACCAGGATGATGGATCGAATGGATGTGCACAGAAAAGAGTTCACTTGACCGAGAGCCCCAACTCGTGCAAACTATCTCCTGCACTCTAAAAGTCTAGAGCGTAGTGCTCCTTGCCAAAAGTAGTCAGCGCGAGGGCGATCAGGGCACTACGGTGGTGCCATCAAAATCGTGCAACACTATTGCTTAATCATCTCCAGATGCCAATTCCCACATCAGCCTTGCCATCGCCTGTCCATTTTTCCCCACATGTCAAACATGCGGATCGATCCAGCGAGCACTCGCGACCGAAAAATGCAATCTCGCGCCTTCCCGCCAGGCTCGGCCCGACCTTCATAAGTTGGCCGTACCTTGGTACCGCACAAGCCAAGCGAGCGTGGTCCCACTCGCGGCGAGTGCCTGCATAGCCCGACTTCCAGCCTGGATCTGTCCTTTTGGTGGCATTGACACAAGTTTGGAACGGTGAGTTGCGGGAGGTGGAGCGTCACGCAGAGCGCTCTCAGTCGCGGCGCTGCCGCCGTCCCCAGCGCCCTATGTGGGCCGATGCCGACCGGGCGGGGATGGCGAAGCAGCCGTGCACGCTCTTGCGTGGCCATGCGTTATGGAATACTTCTTGCAGTGCCTGTGTGGCTCCGTCGAGCGGGAGCCACGACGAGCCTTGGCCCTTTGCTCACCCCCTCCTTCCTCCGACTCCCGCAGATGGGTCGCGTTATTCGGGGCCAGCGCAAGGGTGCGGGGTCTGTCTTCAAGTCCCATGTCACCCACCGCAAGGGTGCCGCCAAGCTGCGCACCCTGGATGCCGCCGAGCGCCACGGGTACATCAAGGGCGTGGTGACGGACATCATCCACGACTCCGGCCGCGGCGCCCCCCTGGCCAAGGTCGTGTTCCGCGACACGATCCGCTACAAGAAGGACAAGCAGCTCTTCATCGCTGCTGAGGGCACCTACACGGGCCAGTACATCTACTGCGGCCGCAAGGCGACGCTGTCCATCGGCAACGTCAAGCCCGTGGGCGAGCTGCCCGAGGGTACCGTGATCTGCAACGTGGAGGAGAAGGCCGGCGACCGCGGCTCGCTTGCGCGCGCCTCGGGCGACTACGCGCTCATCGTCGCGCACAACGTCGACGCCGGCGTGACGCGCATCAAGCTGCCCAGCGGCCTGAAGAAGGTCATCCCCTCCACCTGCCGCGCCACCGTCGGCCAGGTCGCCGGCGGCGGCCGCACGGAGAAGCCCATGCTCAAGGCCGGCCGCGCCTACCACAAGTACCGCGTCAAGCGCAACTCCTGGCCCAAGGTCCGTGGTGTGGCCATGAACCCCGTGGAGCACCCGCACGGTGGTGGTAACCACCAGCACATCGGCCACGCCTCCACCACGCGCCGCGACGCGCCCCCGGGCCAAAAGGTCGGTCTCATCGCCGCCCGCCGGACCGGTCGGATCAGGGGTACCGTCGTCAAGATCGACAAGGAGTAGGTTGGTGGACCGCTTTCTCAGGGAAAGTCTCGACACGGAGGCGGGCGGCCTCTGTCGCGCTCTGCGCTGGCGGCAACACACATTACTTTTGCCACTGTCTCAAAAGCTCGTCAGGCGCTCGCCGATCCCTGGGTCTCGCTCTTGCCCCTTTTATCGTTCTTGTACCAAAAAACACACAGACGGATAGGTGGATAATGAAAGAAAGAGAGGGTGGGTGATAGGAGAAAGTGGATGGACTAGAAAACAGGGGTTGTCGTGTCGTCAGGGACACACCACCCAGGGTGGGCAGATGGACAATCGAGTATGCAAACAGAGAGTATGGCTCGTTTTAACGACGTTCTCAATACGGTCCACAAGGCTCCCCTAGTCGTCTCTCTTCAATCCACCGACCGGTTCGATGACTAGCTTGGCAGAGGCTTACAATATACAGCGATCTGCCGCGTACACGCTCGCTCGCGCACACACACACAGTGAACAAAATGTATTCCAAATGAAATGGCAGAACAGGTAGCACACCCAACACCCAACGCATTCAATACGGGACGTTCTTGGGCAGCTTGTCGTTGATGTTGCGGGCCATGCCGATCGCGAGCTTCTGGCGCTCGAATCGCTGCTGCTGCGCGCGCTGCGCCCTCTTGGCCTCGACGCGCTGCGCGGCGCCGGCAGTGATGACCGGCACGGCCAGCTTGCGGTACTGCGCGAGCACGGCCGCGACCTTGGAAAGCGCGGCGCGGCGCTCGCCCCCGCGGTGGCGCTGGCGGTAGTAGCGCGCGAACTCGCGCGTGCCCAGGAAGCGCGTGCCGCCGCCCGGCAGCGGCACGGCCAGCTCGTACTCGGCGGGGCCCTCGGCGGGCGGCTCGGCGCCCAGCGCGAGCGCCAGGGAGGACGCGGGGTCGGCGCCCTCGTCGTCCTCCTCCTCGCCCTCCCAGTCGTAAAAGTCGGCGTACTCGTCCTCGTTGCCGTCAAACAGCATCTTGCACCGCACCGTGGCGACCATGTGGTGCTGCACCGCCTCCAGGCTGCGGAAGCTCCTGGCCTCGGCGTCGTCGCCGCGCGCATACAGGGGCACGTGCCCGTACCGCAGCTTGGCGCCCAGGTACTTGAGCAGGCCCTCGGGGTCGGCCAGGTGCTCCGCGTCCGGCAGGTAGAAGCCAAAGGTCTTGAACATGTAGGCCAGATTTGCTTCCATGCTCTCAGAGACGCGGTTGTCAAACAGCGACACCCGCACGTCCCAGTCCTCCCAGTCCTCCGAACCGGGCCGCGGGCCGGGTGCATCGGCCTGGGTCTCGCCCCCGGGCGACGCGGAGCCATTGACGCCCTCCTCCATTGCACTCTCTTCCACAAGCACCTCATCTTCGTCCTCCGTCTCCCACTCGGACTCGTCAGATGTGTCCGCCTCTGGCGCCGGCCGGGCCAGCGGGACGACCTTGTGCGTGGTGGGGCCCACCGGCCGCGCGGCCGGCGCGCTCTCCTGCTCCTCGGAGCGCTGCGCCAGCTGCACCCTGGGCGCTGGCGCCGGCTGTCCCGATTTCCGCACCAGCTCCTGGTACTTTTTGGACCTGAAAAAAGGAGAAAAGAAAGGGGGGTCGGTCAAAGGATGCAGGCACAGAGTGCGCAACTGCGTGACACACGCAGATATACCTTCCGCGGACACGCACTCTCCCCCCCTCCACCCACCAACCTGGTAAAGGCGAGGTAGGTGTTTTCGCTTGCAAAGCGCTTGCCGGTCAGGGGATCCTGCCACACGCGCTTGGCGCTCGTGTCCAGCGCGCCCAGCAGCTGGGACTTGCGGGCGTCATACCACTCCCTGGTCACCGGCGGCAAGCCGGCCACCTTGCGCTTCAAGTTATACCTGGAAAGAGGGACACGTTAATAGGAAGTTATAATGATAAGCAAGGCAAGAGGCACGAGTTTGAGTGATTGGCATCATTTCCAAACCTGTGTAGCCTCCACCTTCCTCCCTTTGCCCTGACGGCAGGTCCACGTACGAGACCGCTCCACATCCCCGCCCCTCACCACCCATCCCTCGTCGCGACATGTGCATGAAACATACAAGGCAAATACAAATTTCCACCCCCTCTACCTGTGAAACTCGCTCTTGTAGTGCTCCACCAGCGTCTCCTTGTCCTGGAAAAAGGCCCCGGCGGTGCCGCAATAGAGGCCGCGGTCGTCCTCCATGGTGGCCGCTGGACAATTGAATTCCTGTATCAAATTCCCAAAACGGTGTTGGGAAGTGCAGTGGAACGCAGCTGGGGCCACGACATGGTCGTGCACGGATCGCACAATAGCTCACGGAATCCGGCAAAAGCTTCTCGGGGAGGATTTGGCGCCCGCGCACGGGACATGCCTGATGGACGGGCCAGCTTGTAAGGCGGCCGGCTGAGCGCATCCGACGCATTTGCTCTCCTTGCTCGTGTTTCTTTCACAAACAGAAACAGCATCTCGGGACAATCGTGTCGACCGTGGCCAGGTTTGTACGCTCGCGAGGGGGCTTAATGTGATGGCATTCACACTCCTCTATGCTTGCACATACTGCATGGCTGCACTTTACCCAAGAGCACGCTCCTTTCTCAGAGCTGTTCTTTACAAATCGCGCGGCCTAGAGCGTGCGGGCTTGGGCCTGACAACCCAAGCATCCCACCGCAGTCCTTACCCACGGACGGGTTTCGCACCGTTAAGTGCACCTGTTCACTTTTAACCCGGACTACATACACACACTTTATTGTTATTAGTTTTAGTTTTGGTTGTGGTGCGCTCGAAATTGTGCCGGTAGCTTAACCGTTCATGTGCTCTTGTTTCTGTAGGTGAGCATTGGAAGGGCTGTCTGGCGAATTGCATGCACCATGATCCCACCACCACCACCTCCATGTAATACTCTCGGAATTAAGAATATGCAGCCAGCGGAGTCGAATGGGTGACACAGACGAGAATGGGAAGCAGTGCATCAGGAGGCTGCATAAGTGCGGAGGCAGTGGACAGATCATGCAGACTGATTGGGCAGGGGCAATTGCACAAATCGCAGGCCCCCATGCTATATTGCAATGGAGTTTGGTGATCGTTGTGCTGCACCGTGCGGGCATCTTTGCTGCACCCTTGACTGCGGGGTGTAGATCCCTTGGAGCCCACCAGGGCAAGCGGCTGCACTGCTGCCGCCGCATGGTGCCCCTTGGCCTGTACCACCTCTTTCATCATCCCGCTAATGCATAGAAACTTGTCCATTACCCTTATACTGTCAAAAATTAAGAGATTCTAGTCCAAAAACCAAAAAAAGTGGGTGGGGGGCAACCGAGAATCGAACTCGGGACCACTCGCAATTTGCGAAGTCATTCCGTGTAACCGGAATCGGACGGCACTTCTCCCTAAGCGAGTATTATACCACTAAACCATTGCCCCAGTGAAGATGTCGATGTACAATTTTTAGTGGTCTAAGACCCCAAATATTTTGCAGCTTCCGAGCGCTTCCGACGTATTAGGCTTTTCTGCCACACATGACCATGCATCGTGATTGGTGTGACGAGTTCCAACTGTCTCTGCGCCAACGGGTGTGACTGCCATCTTGAGAAAGGTGACCTAGGCAGCAGGTCAGCTGGTGTGCCATGCGCATTCGACCAGCCAAAGCAGAGTGCGGAGCTGCCAAGGCGGCTATCGATTGTAGCGACACGTGCGTGCCAGCTAGGACTATTCTTTCCCAAAAGACATCTCCTGCTCTTGTCACTTGTTGACTTTATGATATTGCCTCGGGTTACAGTCTCAAAGACCACAAGTAGGAGGGGGTGGGGGCGGGTAAGGGGGAAGCGGCGCGGCGGCCAAAAAAAGGTGTCGTTGGGCGGCTGCGTGCGCACGCTCGAGTGGGGAAGGGGGCGGGTTTTCCAAAACGGAAAGCAGTTAAGGAAGGAAAAAGATTAACCAACTTTCCTGTGGGGTGCACAATAATAACGTTGTGTGAATCGGAATGCGTAGCCCAGTACCATACTTGGAAGGGGTTGCGGAAACGGCCTAAAAAATACCGTCCTAAAATTTCATGCAGATTTCCATGCTTCAAAACATCCAACAGTTTGGAGTCTTTATCGGGAAGGAATATCGTTCTTTTTGAGTTTGCGCGCCCGTGGGAGGGGGGCAGCGCTCAGGGACCGGGCGGCGGCGGCGGGCGGGGGCCGGGATGCCCCCCGGCACGAGTAGAAAACCGGCCAGGGGGCAAAAAGCGAGATCCCAGAGAAAAACAGGAGGATCCCGGCCATCGCGCCGCGCGCGCGCGCGTCAATATCATCAGGTTGTGCTTGGGGAGGAGGAGCCGGGGGCTTCTTGTCGTCGTCGTCGTCGTCGATAAGGCGTCCTCGGCAACTCAAAATGAGGAAGCTGCACGCTCTGTTGGAGTTTAGAGCGTGCCCTTCTTGACGTCGACCTCGCCGTCGGCGGCGGCGCGCTGGGCGTGGGCGGCGGTGCGGGAGGCCGTGCGCGTGGCGTCGCGCTCGATGATCTCCAGCGCGACGGGGCCCATGACCTTGGACCAAAGCTTGTGGCGCGCAAAGGTGATGGGCACGCGCTCGACGGGCAGGCCCTTGGTCTCGGGGATGAGGAAGTAGCAGAAGATGCTCATGACCACCACCCAGGCCGCGAAGAAGATGAAGACGCCCCACTTCATGGCGCACAGCATGGACAGGAAGGACTGGCCGATGACGAAGGAGAAGAGGAAGTTGGAGAAGACGGCGATGGACATGCCGGCGCCGCGCGTCTCCATGGTGTGGATCTCCGAGGGGATGAGCCAGCCCATGGGGCCCCAGGACCAGGCGAAGGACGAGATGTAGACGCAGATGACGACCAGGACGCCGATGGTGGTGCCGGTGGGCAGCTTGCCGTCGGGGTATTTGCTGAACTCCTTGGCCAGGACGATGCCGACCACCATCTGGGAGATGAACATCTGCACGCCGGCCTCGAGCAGGAGGAAGCGGCGGCCCAGCTTGTCGACCAGCAGCACGGCCACCATGGTGGACAGGGAGTTGATGCAGTTGATGATGATGGTGTTGAGCAGCGAGGTCTTGCGGCTGGAGCCCAGGGAGTTGAACAGCACGGGGACGTAGAACATGATGGCGTTGATGCCCGTGAACTGCTGGAAGAGCTGGATGATGAAGTCGATGATCAGCTGGGGGCGGTACTGGCGGGTGAACATGTAGGCAAAGCCCTGGCGCAGCGAGACGCGGTTGGCCTCCTCAGACGCCTCGATCATGTCCTCCAGCTCGGCCTCGACGTCCTCGCAGCCGCGGAGCTTGCGCAGCACGACGCGGCCGTTGTCGACCTGGCCGCGCTCGATCAGGGAGTTGGGCGACTCGGGCAGGAAGATGGTGCCGACGAACAGGATGATGGCGAACGCGGCGGCAATGCTCAGGGAGATGCGCCAGCCAGAGTGCAGGTCCTGGGTGCCGTAGTTGATCAGACCGGCGACGAGGATGCCCAGCGTCACGGCCAGCTGGAAGAGGATGTTGAGACCGCCGCGGTACTGGGCGGGGGCGACCTCGGACAGGTACATGGGCACGGCGGTGTTGGCGAAACCGACGCCAAAGCCGAGGATCATGCGGCCGACGAAGAGCATGGCCAGGTTGACGGCGCCGGCCTGCAGGCCCGCGCCGACGATGAACATGATGGCGCTGGCAAACATGACGGGGCGGCGGCCCAGCTTGCGGCACAGGGGGGCGGAGACCAGGGAGGAGAACATGCCCGCCAGGAACATGGTGGAGGTGAAGGTCTGCAGGACCTGGTTGTCATACTTGCAGTAGGGGCTGGTGTCGGTCACGCCGGCAGTCGTGCGCGCGTACACCTCGGGGAAGAACTTCTCCTGGAAGGAAGCCATGGCCGTCACACCACCGGTGACACCGATGTCGTAGCCTGGGGGGAGGAGAAGCACGTTTCCGTAAGCGTCGGGTTCACGTTCGAAAGCCCGCGGGCCGGGCGCCGAGCAAACCGGGAGCAAGCAGGCCGCAATACCGCCCCGAAACAACGCCACTCACCGAAAAGCAGGCCACCGCAAGCGGCCATGATGGCCACCATGACCACGAAACCGGTGAGGCGTCCATTGTATTGTTCAACGTTCGCCGAGGCGACCGTTGCGACACCTCCTCCTGCCATTGCTCAAGAGCAGGATCTTCCTTGAAGATTGGTTTAATTGAGGAAGTGGGGGAAATAAAACTGTTTGAACGTGTCGGGAAGGCGTCCGGCTTTATATGTGTGGCGCAGCCGTCGATGAAGGCTGATGCCGGGGATTGGTCCTCGTCGGCGTGTGGCACAGAATGGGCTACCGCTATGCCACGCTTTCCTCCCCCCACGCATGCTTCGGCCCCCACGATGTCGGAAACATGCTAAACAGTGTCGTTTCGTTTCGTTTAAACCACGGATGGTTGAGATTATTCTAGATGGTTGTGCTGACGAATTCTGGGCGTTCGCCATGGCCTGTGCGAGCCGGGCCGGCGCAGTGCATTTCTGGCCGGAGACTTTGAAACGTGGGCGCCAATGGCGGGGCAACACCACGTGCATCCGCCCTTTCCGGGATCCAGGCCGTACACGAACGTGAGGACCAGACGGGAGAGGCATGGGGCGATTGGATCGGCTTCGAAATGCCCACTCCGACACCCAGAAACAATGTTTACGGCCCTCGCGGCGAGTCGGGCCCTTGCCCTAGCGAGACGTGTCCGAGGCTCCATCTCGACCTCGACGACGTCCTGGTCTCGTAACCGAATCATCATTTCGCTCGCCGCGCGGGACCGACCGCGACTGCCTGGCGTCCCGCTCCCGGAGTGTGGTCGGAGGGCTCAGCAGGGAGCTCTCGTGTTTCACATAGTCTGATACGCTGTTTGGGCTCCTGATGGCGGGGTCGGGGGGACGATAGGCGCGGGCAGCCATCGCAACATTGTCCAGTGGCCAGCATGACCGACAGATTCGCCGGAGCAGGCAATTGACCATCTTCGATCCTAGAAACGATGCATTTTCGATTCTTGTCGCAAAACAATGCTATCGACGCCGCATCGGGGGGGTCGGCGTGGGCGGCCAGTCCGTTCGAGCGGTGGGCGCTGGGGCAAAAAGAGCTGGTGCACGTGCCGGAGACGAGTTTGCCGCCGGCCTCGCGCGGGCCCGGAGAAGGGTCTATGGCGTTTGTTTGGGCGTAGAATCATCCGATGGGCCTCGGCGATTGTGCGTGGCCGGCGCTGGGCGTTTCCGACCGATCGTCTGTATTTCATCGGGAGAGGGGCGCTAGGGTTTTTCCATGTCGGGGCCGCTTGTGGCATCCCATGCGACAGAAACCTGCGCATGGGCGGATTTTGTTCTGGGAATGGCGCACACGCTTGTACACGGTGGAGGTTGAAACATTATATCGGGTTTTCTCAACAGGAAAGAAGGGGGCAATGAGCGTGCAGCAAAGAATAGACTGGGAGAGCGGGTTCCTGAAATGCCGGGCGCACGCCGCGCGGGTGGTGTTTGTGTTGGGTGGAGGGGCTAGTAAGAGGCCGCCAGGGCAGTGCACACTCGATAAAAAAACGGCGGTGGGTGCATCGTGCTGTGGCGGCGGCGCCCGGCCAATGCACTCGAGCAATGGGGCATTCTGAATTGTAGATGAAAAGCGCAAGAGGAGTAGGCACTCGCCGCATTGTGGTGGCAGACCGCAAAAAGAGGACGGTTTATCGCTGGTGCGCATGCGCACAGAGTCATATGTGTGCGTGTGCACCAACGGGAGGGTTCCCGGCCTCGCCTGCCGCCGCGGCATCGCAATGCCGACCGTCGGCGCGCCCGGTTTCGAGCGCGACTGGGCGCTGGCCGCTGGGCCACAGGTTTGCGTTCGCTCAACCCCCACGCCATGATCTGCGCCAGCAGTCACGCCGCTTCCTGCCGCACGAGAAAGTCTGCGATGGCCTCCGGGGGCATGATGCGCGGCGTGACCCAGCCGCCGGCCAGGACGGCCGGGTCGGCGGGCGGCGCCAGGGCCGCCAGCGCGCCCACGACGCAGGGCCGCGCGCCGGCGTCGCCCGCGCCCAGCTTCGCGCAGCGCGGCGCCGCGGCCAGCATGGCCAGCGCACGCTCGGCCTCGCGCGGCCTCGGCCGCGCTGGGCCGCGTGCCGGGGTCGCGGCTCAGGCAACGGCTCATGAGCGCGACGAGGGCCGCGTGCACGGGGTTGCCCGGCCGCGGCGGCGCGGGCCGCAGCTCCTGGCCCAGCGCCAGCACACGGTGCAGCACCTGCGGCGCGCGCAGCCCGCGCCAGGCGCGCTGGCCCTCGTGCATCTCGTACAGCAGCACGCCCAGCGCGTAGACGTCGGCCGCGTGCGAGAGGCGGCCGGCCTCGAGCAGCTCGGGGGGCATGTGCGAGACGGTGCCGTAGGTCGTCACCTCCTGCAGCACCGCGCCGCGCCCC